CCGCCCCCCCCCCCCGGGTACACAAATTTTTGTGCACCAGGCCTCTAGTCTATATATATAAAAGCCTAAGTGACTGGCTGACCAGCCGGTAGCTATGATGCACACTGACCACCAGTCAGTAGCTATGACGCACAGTCAACAAGCTGATAGCTATGATGCACACTGACCACCAGGGGGCAGATGCTCAATGCAGGAGCTGAAACCATAGGCATGGAAACATGGAACAGACTGATGAATCTTAGAGGGAAGGGGAAGCGGGGAGGGCCGGAAGAGATTAACCAAAGATCTTATATGCATACTAGAGGCCTGGTGCACGGATTTAGTACCTTGGCCTGGCCTGCGGGGATGGGGCCAAAACCGGCTCTCTGACATCCCCTGAGGGGTCCCGGATTGCAAGAGGGCTCAGGCTAGGCCAAGGGACCCCACCGGTGCACAAATCCCTGCACCAGGCCTCTAGTCCTAAGATAAAGAATAAGTTCTTTTAGAGATGCAAATTAATCAAATCAAAGAGGCTTCCCTCATGTGATTCCTAAGAAATCAAATGCTTCTTCAAAATAATCATCACCTGTTTCATGACTCTAATTTTTCTCATTTTAAATTAACACCAAATAAGCAAGAGCATTGCTCAAATTCAAGGTGTGACAAAAAGATCCAAAAACGAAACAGCCCAGCATTAAACTTTCAATGTCAACGCTGTCCAATTATGCAACATTGGCACCAAACTTCCTTAGAAAAACCTCAGTGATCTAGCTCTCAAAAATATTTTCCATAAAAGAAAATATGAAATAATTCCCTGACACCTGTAGGAAAGATCAGCTGATTTAACACAGAATCAAAATACATTAAGTGTTTTATCAGTTAATGAGAATTGGAAAAACAGTTTAAATCTTTTCAGAGTATTCAGAATGAAAACGTCAGTATCAATTTACTTTTAGACGGTACCTAACTGAAATGGATCGAGGATATAAATATCTGAATTATACCCTCAACTTCAGCCTCAGGAGTTTTTCACGCTACAAAAAGCTCTAGCTGTAAAATTCATGATGGTTGGGTTCGGAGGTAGCACTAGAGGTAGCAGACATCACCTCCACCTAAGGTCATTTTGGTCTCCCAGTAAAAAACAAGAATACTGCCCGGCCAGCATGGCCCAGTGCTTGAGCGTTATGAACCTGGTGGTCACAGTTCAATTCCTGGTCGGGGCACCCAGGGTTGCAGGCTCAATCCCCAGGAGGGGGAGTGCAGGAGGCAGCTGATCAATGATTCTCTCTCATCATCGAAGTTTCTCTCTTTCTCCCTCTCTCTTCCTCTCTGAAATCAATAAAAATATGTTTTAAAAACAATTCTAATTCACAAGAAAAATAATTCATAGAAAAATAATACTTTCAGAGAAATTTTTTGCTTTTAAAAATTGGCTGTACTTCAATCATGTCAAACTCGCAGCCCACAGGCAGCACGCAGCCTACAATGAATATTTTTGTGGCCCAGCCAATATAACGGTATGTAAGAAACGTTTTAACAAAACTGTCATAACTTAATTTTTAGAATGTCCTGTTATACATAATTATTAATAAGGAACTACAACGTTCGCTAATGACTGATTACTATAATGGTGTTGCATTCATTTCCCTTACGCACCTTATGCGCAGGCGCACCATTTCTCCCCACTAATACTAGCAGCGAATATTTTAGCAGCCGATTGCCATGTCATTAGTCTTGGACTGACCTGTTTAGTGTGCGCAACATGAAATATTTTGCTTTTGGAGAACAAGAAAAATAGGTTTATTTGCGTCACACTTATTAATTTGTGCAGTTATTCAATGTCTAGTAAGTTAATGTTCAAGAAAAAATATTAATTTTTATTAAAATGTTCTATTATTTTATGTTAATGATGACTCATTTATTTCAGCCCTTTGTATTCAGCATGTCTCTATCAAAATAAACCTACGTTTCTATGAAAATTAAAGCTTTTGGTTTTTTGCAGCCCACATAACCTTAAACCTTGTTTATTTGGCCCATATTAGCCTTTGAGTTTGACATGCTTGCTGCACTGAGTTTCCCCTCTATTTTGGAGATCATTCTTCATTAGTCTTTCCAAAAACCTATTTCCCCTACTGCTCATCCTCACTTAATACCATAAAAGGCAGAGACGAATTGAGCTGTGTGGTCCTATCCTGCATAATTTTGGTCATATCTTTTTATATAGCCTAAATGCACAACTGTGTGGTCCTATCCTGCATAATTTTGGTCATATATTTTTATATAGCCTAAATGCACAACCAGCAAGAGAGAGAGAGAGAAAGAGCCATCTTAGCAAGTTTCAAAATGTTAAGGACTTGGCAACTGGAAAGTCAAAGTTGTGATCACCTGTAGGTCATCAATCACACATTCCTTCATTCTCTCAGACCAGGGTCCAGCCTGCAGTCACAGCAGCATGTAGTTACTAAGGAGATATCCACAGGAAAAGCTGCTCCATCCTGTTGGTTGGCTTTGTGTGTCAGAAATTACTGAGCATCCCTGAACCAGTGGTTCTCAAGAGTATAGTCCCCCAAACACCAGCAGGAACAACCACCTGGAAACTTATCTGTTAGAAAAGCAAATTTTTAGCCCCTCCCCACCCCCCAAGAGACCAGCTAAATTAGACAGACATTCCCAGGGTAGGTCCAGCAATCATAACTGTGATGTACACTCAACTCTGAGAACCATTAGCATAGAGGAGAAAGAAGGCGTGTCCTTTCCTTCAGGAGCTTATGATCTAACTGGAGAAAGAACCCAAATAACCTACAAGTCATTGTAAATTAACATTAGCATTGTGTGAACTTCTTACATTATGTGTCCTTTAGATTCTTAGTAAAAGACAAGACATTTCATGGTTAAGGAGGAATAAGACTCAGAGGGACAATAAGAAAACCTATTGAAACAGATAAAAATTGAGGTGGGGGGGAGGGGGCCTAAAGACACTAAAAATACTGCTGCCTGGTTCCTATCCCCAAAGCTTCTGATTCAATAAGCCTGGCATCAGGACTTTTCAAAGCATTCTGGTAATTCTAATAAGCAGGCAAGATGCAGACCTCCTAGTTTGGAAGATAGAGACCTACAGAGCCACCATGCGGAACTGGGCTTCCCCAGGATGAAGAAAAACATAAAGGACAGGGGGATTGGACTGTGAAAGCATTAGGGCTGGGATGAGATGGAACAAATTTAGGAGCAATCAAAGCCTGAAGGCCATCCCTCAGCCAGCCCAGACCGCCTCAGCCTCCTGACAGTCTCCTGCACT